GGGGGGGGGTGCAGTGCGGAAGTATGAGGTCAGAGCGGGACAGCCTAGGCAGGGCGACTCACTCGGTGTGCCGAGGACATGACGAGTCCAAGTGTGCTCAGACTCGCTCCTCCGCCACGGCTGTCAACCAGACCTCTGGACCTCTCTTTCCCACACAAGGGTAAATAGTAAGATAAAAGTTCCAATTATAATCTTAGGGCTAGAAATTGAAAGTTATTCTGTAATAGTATTTTAATGCCTAGTATGTCTGATTTTTTTTTTCTTATCTGCAGTTTTGGAAATAACAGCAGGAATACATAGAATGTGTCGTAGTGGGTCATTTAGAAATGGTCTGCCTGCCTGCCTACCTCCCTGTACTAAAGATACATTTTGTAAACATTTGTATGTTATTGTACTGCCTAGCTATCCAGACCATTGTATTTCTTTCTTTTGTATTTTGCAGTCATGACATTTATCATCAAACTACAAAGAAAATTCTAGTCACAGTTAATTAAGTAAAATATAATTGAAAACCGCTAGTGATTGTAATAAGGACTAGTGGGATTTTTCTGGGAATCCACCAGTGTAGTTTATTAGACTATTGAAAAGATGTAGTCCAGGTTTTAGGATGGAGTCTGACCAGAAACAAAAGATACTAAAAGCATATTTTCAGCCCTGATTTCTTACTTTACAAATGCCTACCTTTATTCACAGGTGAAGATGTAACATGAGATGAAAACTTTACTATCACTCCTAATAATGTAATTCAGAGCATAGTACTTACTGAAAATACATTGATGGTTATCTTGATTTTAAATTGTAGCTCTTAGCTCCTCCCCTTAGTCCTTTTCTGGTTTTATTTTAGCTGTTGCAGTCAGGCCACTGGGTGTCAGTAATGATCCAACACAGCACTACCAATAGCCAAGTCCTCTTGGTAGCAAATTTTGTTTCTTTGGCTTTTTTGAATTATTATCTGTCTTGCCTCCTGATCTTTGTATGAAAGACACATTGTTGAAAGTACATTTTTGTGTCCTTTGTTGCCATATTACTTTATGTTCCCTTTACAACAGTCTTCTGCATGGTAAATAGTAGTGTCCTTATTTTCTATAAGTGGCACAAAATAATTATAGAAAGACTTGGGCTTTTAAGTCCAGTAAGTTTATTACTACATATGTGTATTAATTAACCTCTCTGCCTACCTTATGAAGATAATTTTATCTGTAAAATTAAAAATTAAACGTTGTAAGCTAATGTACAGATTAAATTATTCTGTCTGCTGAAGTAACTAACATAGCAGCAATCAATAGAATTAGGCTACTGAGCCTAGAATTAGGCTACTGAGTCTAGAATTAGGCTACATTTAGCTTTCTCCACTGCTGGCATAGAATTCACCTTTCTGAGGTCTGATAAATCATTCAATGCCCATCAGGTAGCCAGATTTAAAAATTTGGCTACCATTGTCACCCTTCATTTCTTTTGCCCATGTACTTTACTGTCTACTTTAAAAAGTCTTTTTACTGTTAGTGTGACTTAAGGAAGGATGAAACGGGTGGGGGTGAGGTGACTGGAAGTCACATAGTGACAAAGGCAGACTCTAGCTGGAAACTGGCTTGTTTCCATGGACATACAAGGATATGGATACAGAATAGTATCAGACTTCTCAACAGAAACACCTTGGAGACTGTAAGATCATTAGGCAATACCTGGAAAATCACATTGAGAAAATTATTCTTAGGAATTATTCTTAGGCAGTATTAATATACTGTGACACTAAAAGACATCTTCACTTGGGTAAAGTCTCAAGAATTTTGTCTATGCCTTTTACTAAGGTAGTCACTAAGAAGATTATGTTTCAGGACAAGGGGATAAACCTAATAGAGAAATAATGACCATGAAGCAGGAAAAGCAGCACAAAAGAATGGGAGAAGAAATCTAGGATGTTGGTGGAGATCCTAGAATGATAAAAGGAAATATAACTCTGGTAGGCTTAGAGAATAGCAGGTGTAAATCGGAGAGCTTTGAAAGACCGCAGAGGAGAGTTCTTTAAGAAGATGAAAATGATGGATTGTGTAATGTGCATAATAATAAAGGTTGAAACTGTGGAAGTGTTAACTACATTAAGGAAACAGCTGGAATGGATAGGGGTGTGTAGAATGAGAATATTAGAAGTATAATGAGAATTGCAGATGACCACATGAATATAAAAACTGAAGCTTTCTATTATATTACTGATATTTACAGAAATAGTATCAAAGTGTATGTAGAGATATAAGTCCTCATTCAAAAGGGATTTGGAAGTAGTTGCTTCTAAAATAGGAGAGGTAAAGCAAGTTACAATTATTTTTCATACAAGTCTTATAGAACTAGTTGATTCTTTACAACTTTGACAAAAATTAAAACTAACATAAGTTGTACTTTAAGGAAAACAGATGTCTGTGTAGGGTTATACAGATGTGTGATGGAGTGTCTTTCTATTAATGTGTATTATACAGAACAGTGGGTGTC